TGCCTATTTCTCGTTGTTCGCTTTGTGTTGCCGCAGTATTCGCCACATTATCAATTACTTTAAATTAAAGTTTCAAATAGGTGGCAACCTTCCACAAAAATATGTTCAGCTGTAAGCTTTTGTAAACCTCTTTCTTTTGACTGCTATATTGGAATATTTACTTTATCGTATCAATTGACCAAAACTGAAATTTTAAACACAGGTGGCAACTCTCTAATTTTTTTCTTCTATATTGTAATTTAGACCTCTAGCGATACATCGGTGAAAACTGCATTCAATTCCATGCGCTAGTTTTAGAGTGATGCGCGTACAAATATACAGACAAACAGAGTCAAAAATTCTAAAAATTGTTTACTTGGCTTCTGTAGCTCTAACAAAAACCCACCATATTAATTTTTCTTTAATATCTATAAGGCACAGACATCGGCCTGTTACAATTCTATTATAAGTATAGATACAGATTTCATTTATTTTATCAATTTAATACAAACAAATTTTTCAAATAGGTGGTAACCCTCCTCAAAAATATTTTCGGCAGTAAGATTTCCTAAACCTCTTCAGTTTGATACCCATATTGCAATATTCAATTTATCTTATAAATTAAATTAAATTAAAATTTTCAAACAGCTGGCAACTCTAAAAAAGTATTTTTGCCTGTAAGCCTTCTTAAGTCTCTTTCTTTTGACGCCCATATTGCTATATTCACTTTTCCTTATCAATTTACTTAAACTGCAATTTTCAAACAGGTGGCAACTCTCTATTTTTTTCTTTCTATATTTTAAGTTAGACCTCTAGCAATACATCGGTGAAAACTACATTCAATTACATTCACTCTTTTTAGAGTGATGCGCGTGCAAACATACAGACAGACATAGACAGACACGACAGACAGACAAAAATTCTAAATAAATAAAATAAAATAAAACTTTTTAATATACAACGCTTTTACAAATGGACTTTTCATTTTCAATGTCATTAATCGTTTATAATGACTTTTGCTAAAATTTCAAAATCAAAAGTTATCAAAACAAATTCTGTGGGACAGAAATATTATTTTCTACTTTTTAGCCCATTTATAAAAGCGTGGTACATTAAAAAGTTTTTATTTATTTTATACATTTTGGTCTTGTCTGTATAAAATTTTGCAATAGATACTAAAATAATTCAACTTGCAGTGAAAAGAGAACAGAAGGTTATGCAAGCAAAATGTTGTTTGCTCACATTTAGTATATGCTTACATATGTACATACATACATATAGCAGCAATTAATTTCATTTAAAGATATGGCGTGTCGTCCATTTCCGCTGTAGCGTATGTAGTGCATACCCTGCAAGAACAGTGACTATCATTTGACAAATCATTTGAGTGGCAAGACTGATAGAGATTTCAGTCACTGGCTACCTACAAGTTTCTATCAAGTTCTAAAGGGCAGTGTGAAAAATCTGATGTAAACATTTGTGTACATGTGATCTTCCGTCTTCCTCCAACTTATGTCCTTATTTAATGGTCTCTTTTTAACCAACGAAAAATTTGCAAATGTGTTAGTAAGATAAATGAGAATGTGTTAGATTACATCACACAATTCTTGTAGGGTATTTTAACTTCTTCTGGCGAGGCGACATCTATGTCTAGAGTTTTTCTAATTGTATGTCTTTGATATGATACCTACGACGAGGTTGATATCTAGACTAGGTTTGCCATAAATACCTTTGCTAAATTTATAGTATAAAATGGTGGTCTGGGCATACAACATTGAAGTTGATAAAAACGTTGTAAAATGGTTGATTTGGCTTCTGGTGCTCTAATAAAAACCCCCTACATTAATTTTTCTTTAATATCTATAATGTACAGACATCGACCTATTACAATTTTAATATTGGTTATGTAAGCAGAAGCATTTTTGCGAATGTTGCTCTAGTGGTGGCGCCAGGGTCGAGATATTTTGAAAACCCGTATTTATGCTCTGATTTATTTCAGAAAGACATAGATTTGCAACAATGGAACCGCTGGTGGTGCTGATGTCAAAATAAAAAGTACGTTCGATATGAAAGCATGTTTTCTTTCCGTTAAAAATTCTTTCAAGGACAATATTAACAAATGCTCTTCAATAGAAATTATACTAACGTAACGCCAGGTAACGTCAAATCATCTAATTCAACTGATTAAACTTAAAGTACAAAAGATTTCTACATTTAAAAACTTGGAAAATAAATCTTAAACATTTCCAGTATTACTACAAAAACGGGTATACAAATAGTCTTGCCCAATAAGAAGTGTTTTGCAATTTTGCAGTAGAAGTCAAAATCCACTTCTGTTTTTTGTAACGTCATACCAGCGCGTATGTTTACTAATATCTTTAAATCGCTACTACCAACAGTTGTAATTTTTTTTACTGAATAGGCGCCACTTAACCCTATAGTACTAACCATATTTTACGTTAGTTAGTACTAATGATCATTGATTCGACGAGTTCTTGTTAAAACCCAGTTGTTTAAAAAACAAAAGGAAACTAAATGTTATACATATTATTAAATTTATAAATTTGATGTTTGAACTTAATAATAAAACAACTTTTAGGTTCATAAAAACTAAACAATATTGTTTATACAATCTATTTCACATACGCCAACAAAACAAAATGCCTTCTCTCGACAACAGAAGATAAAGGACTAACCGTATATAAGTAAAGAAAAACTAGTAAAATGAAAGTGTTAGTCGTCGAATCGACGAACATTAGTACTACTCTAGGGTTAATTGCTATGCAAATCTAGATAAACTTTTTAAAATTTTTACTTTTTCATTTTTTACGTTTTGTCATACAATTGTGACGTAACGCCAGATTGGAAATACCCATATGTGCATACATATATCTCCAATAAAAATTATTTTTTTTTATTTTTTGGGTTTTGGGTAGGTTTGCCAGTTTATATAAAACCACCGCCAGATTATTCATCTGTTTTCAAAATATATATCTTAGTATGTTATTTTCCAAATGCGGTATCCAATCGTCGCTCCACTGATACACGATGGTAATACCGCTGAAGGCCAGAACCACGTGCAAAAGTTTCTGCTTGTATATGTATCGTACGTCTTATTCCTTTCAAATCTTTGTCAATTATATCAAATTAAAAACTGTATTGTAATTTAATGGTCCACAAGTAACCAGGTTATTCCTCTAATTGTTGGTTATATGTCAGAATTTATTATTCAGATTAAAATTTAAATGGCTGGGAACTAAAACTTTATGTCTTCCGGTTATTCCTCCAATTTGAAAATTTTATAATTATTCGTCATATTATAATTTTAGGTTGTGATTGAAAAATTTTCTGTTTCGTTTTGTGGAACAGTTATGCATGTTACTTTTTTATTTCGCACTTACTTTGTTCATACTATAGTACCGTATCTACGGTACGCTTAAACATTTTCATTTAATTTTAATATAAATTTTCTTTATGTCAACTTCTATTACATTACTTATGTAATTATTATTTTGTAGTATTATCTTTTCTTGTTTTAAAAGTTGGAATGTTGTATTTAATAATTAATCAGATATTTACTTTAACAAAACTCGAC